GATGCAGGCGCTTACTTGCCCACTTGCCCAGGGGGGAGGTTAGGATCGCTCAAGGAAAGCCCGCCCTGCTGGGAGCCACAGTCTCCTGCCAGTTTGTAAATAGCCTCGTTCCTAATTTATCTCACTCCTCTTTTCTGAGCCAGTGACCCAGATTCATTGGGCTGTGAGGCCGCGCGCACGGGGTTGCACAGACAGGTCTCCATGTTGCTGTGCTGGAGAAGACAAGGAGAAAAATCATGAGCTGCTTAAAAGTGGGGAAAGATAACAGAAGAACCCTCACACAGTTGCCTCAATTCCAACTAGACCTGTGGTAGTGATGCAAATGCCTAAATGAACCCCAAGATACAGGTAGGTTCACCGGTATTTGGCTTGTGCCACATAACTGCAGTCTGCTTTTCCCACCACTAGATGGCAACCCCGCTTTAAAGCAAATTTTATTCAAACTATAACGCTGTTCAAAATAAAAAGTAACTATTCTCACCCCATCATGTTGGCACAAAAAAGTCCTAAAACTCTTGGGTTAGTGAATGTGTGGGACAGCAGGGAATTTCAGAAAGCACCGGTGCAAGAGTGAGTTGATAGCACTATTTTGGAGGAATTTGGAGGTAACGTTCATGCTGTGCACATTATGTGACCCAGCCACGACACACGGAGATTTGATCATCTGATTATGACGATGACGGTAACGTTTACTTTGTCCCCACTATGTGCCAGGCCCTGCCCTAAGTGCTTACCTCATTTGCTCCTTACAACTCTCCCGTCCCCACCCCCCCCCTCCAACTTACCAAGGAGGAATCCAGGCACACAAAGGTCAAGCACCTTGATCGAGGTTACAGAGCTATTAAGCGGCAGAGCCCCAACCTTCGACCTGCTTCCACTACACTGCACGTGCCTCGCGTGCACCCGGAAACACACACCACACACATATAGGAGGGAATCCATTGCAGCAGTGTCTGTTAGCCTAAACAGTGCATTAGGAGACAATAAATCACGAGGGAATGCTGCAGAGCTGTTAAAGCCACGCACTAAACCTAGAAGCGGTCAACCGGGTACGCATCTCAAAATCAAATACTGAGATAAAGTAAGCAAAAATCGAAACGAGGAAGCAAAACTGTGTATTATTCATTGAGACCAACAAGGGGAGTGAAACTATAAAAGGACACACCGGAAAGGTATATACCAAATTTACGATGGTGTCTCAGGGGCAAGGTTAAATGGGATTTGGGGAACAAAAAGACAAGGGCTTTTAAAGTCATCTGGAATGCTCTGTTATTTTCTCTCTAACCTACCTGTCTCTTGAGCAAAGAGGCAAAAGCTCAAAGCCTAGCCTGATCCAGAATATCATTTTTTATGACTGGATCTTTACAAATGCAATCCACAAGCCTGATAACTGCTGTTGTCAAGCCACCACACAAACCTTTTCGTCCATCAGGGACATCTCCCCAGAGAGCTTTTCTCAAGCTCCCTTCTAGAGTAGAAATCACCTAAGAGGTTCCGAAGGTGAGACTTCCAGCGGCAGCAGCATATGGTTTTTGCTTAAGGTGCAGGACTCTGAGGCTGGAAAGAGGGGAGGGAAGGGGGAGACAGGGAGAGTCAGTTCTAACTTGTACTTAGTGATTAAGACAGCGGTTCTCTTTAGGGCACCAGCTCCAAACAACTTAAGTGTTTCTTTTATTAAAAAAAATTTTTTTTCTTTAAGTTTGAGAGTGTGTGTGCATGCAAGCGGGGGAGGGGCAGCGAGGGAGAGAGAGGAGGAGAGAGAGAGAGAGAGAGAGAGAGAGAGAATGAATCCCAAGCAAGCTCCTTGCTGTCAGTGCAAAGCCCTTCATGGGTCCCATCTCCGGAACCATGAGATCACCACCTGAGCCGAAACCAAGAGTCGGGCGCTCCACCAACTGAGCCACCCAAGCGCCCCTGAAGTGTTTCTTTTAAAGTTCAAACTATTCCCTTGCTTCACTGTTTCTTGTGTGTGTGTGTGGGGGGGGGGGGGGGGGGGGGGCAGAGGGCAGGTTATAATCAAATGTTTAATTGTTCAGGTGGAAAGACACAGTGATTCCAACAAATTACCTCCCTCCAACTCCATTTAAAGCCAGTAGGCAAACTGGTTACCTAGAAACACAATGACTTACAACTAACCCTCTTCCTGTATTTACCAGAGTCAACACATATGAAACCACAGGTCATATGTTGACAAGTTTTCCTAGAACTATAATAGGTTTATAGAGGTTAATGCTCTCAGATTAAACAGGGATAATGGCTCCAAGCAAGAGGCCAGGTCTGGGGGTGGGGACGGGGAGGGCAGAAGGCATAATTTTAGAAAGATTTGAAAATTGGTTTTTAGTGCCAGCATGGACCTTTTGTCAGCAGCTGAGTGCACTAAGAATGTAAATTATGGAGGAGAAGGCTATGTGGGTAGCTTTGAACCTAATGGATTGTCTCAAAGCCGAAGACTGTAATACTGTGTCCTGTACTGTAAGGAAGCCTCCTCACAAAAGCAATTTATACCTCCTTTTAAAAATATTTTAAGCATCCTCAATCAGAGAATCCCTCATCACAAATCTTGTTTCATTTCACTGGAGTTAAATATGCCCTATCACTTAGGGGAACAAGTGGTATCCACAGTTCAGTAACATACATAGTAATTTTTTTTTTTAAGTTTATTTATTTTGAGAGAGAGAGAGCATGCGCGGGTAGTGGAGGGGCAGAGAGAGGGGGAGAGAATCCCAAGCAAGGCTCCACTCTGTTAAGTGCGGAGCCTAACGCTGGACTCAAAGTCACAAACGGTGAAATCATGACCTGAGCCAAAATCAAGAGTTGGGTGTATAACCGACTGAGCCACCCAGGTGCCCCCATAGATGGTAATTCTTGAAAAATTATCTAGTTAAGAAACGCAGATTTGGCTTTCTCCTCCTATGTGTTAGTGGGGAAAACAACTTTTCATTGACATTTCCCTCTCAAGAGGACTGCGACTTCTTGAAGTAGTGACATCTGAGGAATATTAGGATTGTAGTGAGGAACTGGTGTGTCCCTGGGTCTTTCAGGGAAGCCTGCCCAGGGATCAACCTTCATTGTTCTCATAGAACCGTCTGCCTGGTCAGACTCTGAGTCTTTCATGGAACTCTTCGTGCCATTAGCTCGGGAGATTCTTGATGCAAAGTGACAGGTCCAAGGTGCGTTTATAGTAACCCAAGAGAACTGTATTAAAATGAAGTCTTGCTGGGCCCTGGTCTCACAGTGTGGCAAAATCTGTTACAACTTTTAATTATCTCACTTGATTTTTCATTTTGGAAATGACAGGCTACATGAATATCTGCTGCTTGGAAAGAATGCAGAGGTGTGTATACGAGTCAGTGAAAGGTCTCCCTCAACCCTCCTCTCTCCTACCTGAACCTTACTTTCCTTGCCAGGTGACCATGGTGGACAGCACCTCCTTCTTGTGTGCACTCACAGAGAACACATACCAAAGCTACTGAGCCAGTAGCAAACATGTGAATTCTGGGTGCGCCCGGGTGACTCAAGTCAGTTAAGCGTCCAGCCCTTGACTTCGGCTCAGGTCATGATCTTGCAGTTTGTGAGTTCGGGCCCTGGCTCTGCGCTGACAGTGCGGAGCCTGCTTGGGATTCCCTCTCTCCTCTCTCTACCCCTTTCGTGCTCTCTCAAAATAAATAATTAAACCTAAAAAAAATTGTGATTTCTGAACTTCTAAAACCAAATCTAAACAATTTCCAGGTTTATGAAATTACTCTAGAAACACACAAATCTAAATAAAAAGAAACAGAAACAAAAGTTTCATTACTCACATCTTGTATTTTATTTCTTACAATTAACAGCTAAGAAAAAAGTGATTTTGGCACCCTATTATTTTAAGACCACAGCTGTCACTCAAATGCTAACCCATCCCATAAAACAGGGAACCTTCCCCCAAAGCTACACTGGCCATTTATTCAAGTTTCCTGATCCCAGTGACAACTAATAATTTTTATTACTTATCAAACACAGAAAAATTAGATTATTGTTCTCCCTAGCTGAAAAATCTCACAAATGATACTTTTTCTCTGTGCACATGGTTCACTGACTCAAACCAGGATAAAGCTACTAAAATATCTATAGTTACGCATCTCAGACTGGGGTCTGGATACCTGTGGGAGTTATTTAGTGTATGCTAGGGGGGACTGGCAATGATGCTCCATCTTCCCAGAGAGCAATGCTTATTTGAGGCTAAGGACTCACATATTTATTTTCCAAAAAAGTTAAAAGGAAGCTTTTTTTCCCCAAATGAAATATATAGAAAACTTCAGGGGCGCCTGGGTGGCTCAGTCAGTTGAGCGTCCGACTTTGGCTCAGGTCATGATCTCATTGTTCGTGGGTTTGAGCCCTGTGTCAGGCTCTGTGCTGACAGCTCAGAGCCTGGAACCTGCTTCAGATTCTGTGTCTCCCTCTCTCTGCCCCTTCCCTGCTCATGCTCTGTCTCTGTCTTAAAAATAAATTAAAAAAAAAAAAGAAAATAAAACTTCAATATATAAAACCAGTTTTAGGAGGCTGCACTGGCAGTAGGAGTTGGCTGATGCAAGTTCCCCCCACCCCACACATAGCCTGGGGGCGTGTGGCCCCTTCCCTCCCAGGGTACCCTGAGGGAACTTCTTGCACACCAAGCCTCACCCTCTCCAATCTCAATTCAAAGACTGGGCATCCTCCTTGGGATAACAGAAAGTTTGCTGGGGGAGTCCAAGGGACACCAATGCTGTGTGAGTCCTGCTTGCCCTTTTCCAGGTAAGTGACAGACCTTACTTCCTTGTGCTTTTTTTTTTATATGCTCAAGTCCAACCTTTAAAATCTAAACTCTTCTGGCTTTTCAATCTTTTTGGCTGTACTACATTTCAACAAATACTTCCACTTGTATAATGAAGCTCTTAGATCCTGTCACATCTCTACAGTAAATAACAATATATCTTCCCAAACTGTGAGGAACTACTCAATGTTCCCAAACAGTGTCCTGTCCTCTAATCTGGTTTCTGAATATTCTGGTTCTTTTCCTTCTTCGTATATTCTTCTAGTCGAAGAAGCCACTTGGCCCAGTACTGGGAACAGAGCTCAGTGTCCATGAAATGGGGGTGAGCAGGGGATCCATCCTTGTAGGCAACCACAATTAAGCCACACTGAACCTAGGAAGAAACACAGGGCAGTTCCAGTATTTATACGGTAGGGCCAGAGTTGATGTTCATTTCCGTCTTGCTTCAGGGCAAACTCAGAACAAAACAATCTACAATAATACAATATACAATAATATCTCCTAATGGTTTTTGATGAAAGATTGTATCAGGATACATAAGAACACAAAGATGACAAATAAGATATCCAAGAATGGACTGTAAACACTAAAGCACTATTAGCAATGACAGCTCAGGAACAGAGGGAAGTGCTTCTTAAGGTGGTAAAAGGACAAGGAATGGAGTAAACAGTGGGACACAAACAGAATAAAAATCATAAGGAGTTAAATGGCCATACATAAGCATTGACCAAGGCTTTACATAAGCAGAGGTGCAGTGTCCTGACCTGAAAGCTGTAGTTGGCATCATTATTTATGGCACCAACATAGGCCACAACCTGCAGCGGGTTGTCAAACGTATTTCGGATATAAGGTTTTGGTTTCTCCGATGTCTTCCAATCAATCACACACAGCTTGCCCCTAAAGAGAAACCAAAGGAAGTCTTAGTAGGTAACCGTCCAAACTGAGAAACCCTAATAGGTTAAGCCTTTTCTCAGGTATAGTTTATTATCACTCAATGACTTCTCCCCACTTTTCTTTAAAAAAAAAATTTTTGGGGCGCCTGGGTGGCGCAGTCGGTTAAGCGTCCGACTTCAGCCAGGTCACGATCTCGCGGTCCGTGAGTTCGAGCCCCGCGTCGGGCTCTGGGCGGATGGCTCAGAGCCTGGAGCCTGTTTCCGATTCTGTGTCTCCCTCTCTCTCTGCCCCTCCCCTGTTCATGCTCTGTCTCTCTCTGTCCCCCCCCAAAAAAAAAAATAAATAAAAAAAAAATAAAAAAAAAAATAAAAAAAAAATAAATAAACGTCAAAACCAGCGGTCCAAACGGAGATGTTGTACAAAGTATGCATGTTACGTACCTGTGACCATAGCTCTAGAGTTACAACCTATGCAATGTATTTATAAGTCAGCCTAGAGTAGCACTGTCTAAATGAAATAAAATGCAAGCTACGTGTTATTTCAAATTTTCTAGTAGTTACATCAAAAAAGAAAAAAGGAAACAGGTGAAATTTTAATGTTTTATTTAACCCAACATACCCCAAATTTGATCATTTCATTATGTAATATGAAAAAAATTATTAATGGGATACCATACCTTCTTTTTTGTACCAAGTCACTGAAACCTACTTTGCCCATTTACAGCATACCTCAGCTGAGATTGGCCACACTAAGTATTTAAAGGCCGTATGTAGCTAGTGGGTATTCTCTTAGATAGTGCAGGTCTAGAGGTAGTTTTACTATTTCTGTCAAACTTTGTAATATTACAAAACAATTATAATCTATGCAAATGAAGAGAGGGCCCCAGTAACCCCAGAACCTCAGTTCTCAACCTGGAGCAAATCAAAATACCCTAAAATAAAGATTTCTGATATGGACCACTGTCTCTTGCAAAACATACTTCATACTATAACTTGCAGAACTTAATAATGTGGAAAAGATTTTTAGTAGTATAACTCCAAATTAAAACTGAACAAAGACAGTTCATAACAAATGAAAAGATGTTCAGTCTAACCTAAGTGAAATGCAGACTGAAATTATGAGATACGATGTTAATAAATTATATCTAACACTGTGTCATTAAAACTGTGCAGAAATAAGCACACCTTCATCTGGGAAAACTTACAATGCACATACCCTTTAACATAGCAATTTCCTTTTTAGGTACCTGCTGGAGAGAATGGTTTGATACCCTGGGGATAAATGCCTGGGAAAATGTCATAAAAGTGACAAATGCCTGGAAAATTTAAGTATTCATATCCAGGCCTACTTCAGACTAACTGTATAGATCATCCACCAGAACAAACCAGCAAATGAACCTGTGCGCCTGCCTGGAGAAACTCTCACAACAGTATACAAGGAGACACGCTCACTGCTGCAGTTCGTGATTGTGAAAAACTAGAAATTACCTGAATTTCCCCAACAGGGAAATGGATGTGGTTCATTAGTAAAAAGGAATACCAAATAAGTTAAAAACAGAGAACAAGATCAAAATAATCATGCTAACAGTTACTGAGTAGATAGTATTCATTTTAAGTACTATACAGAGAATGTCTCATTTAGTCTCTATAACAACTCTATGAGGTAGATCCTATCTTTTGTCTTATTCTATTTTTTTAAGTAGGCTCCATGCTGGGTGTGGAGCCCAACACCGGTCTTGAACACACAACCCTGAGATCAAGACCTGAACTGAGATCAAGAGTTGGACGCTAAACCAACTGAGCCACCCGGCGCCTGTCTTATTTTACAGATGAACAAATTGAAGTACAGAGAGCCTAAGTAACTAGCCTAACGTTAAGATGAAAAGCCAGAAATGAAACCCAGCCAGCCTGGCTCTCGACCCTCGTATCTTACCAGCTTTGCGATAAGACATATCCAGAAGCTTCTCTGTATTGTGACTATTACAGACATGTATGTAACAATACACAGTGGTGTTTATATGCAGAGTAGACTGGCAGTGTACCTGTGCATGCATTATACAGTGTTGTGGGTGTGTTAAATAATATAGGAAGTAGCCTAGAAGGACACAGTAGCAAACTTATCACAGTGATTGTCCTTGGCCAGGGGTCTATGAGAGGAGATAAGAGGGTTATAGGTGATGCGAGCTTAATTTATGTTATATTTTAAAAAAATTGGAAGCAGATGTGATGAAGTGTTAATAACTGCTAATTCTGAGTGGTGGAAAATTATTAAAAGAGAAAAGGATGTTGCAGATCATATAAACTGTAATAAGGATCTCTAGAATGTTTTCAGAATGAAAAAAGCAGGGTTTGGCACTGTTAGTAAGTGGGGGTGGGGACCAATGATAGTGCATGCAGTCATAAAAATATCTCAGGATCACAAGAACTTTTAACCAAAGGTTAAAACCAGGATGGGGGTAGAGGATTCTAGGAGGATGGAAGAATAGGACACACCAGAAATCTGTAGGCCCACCTTGACAACAATTGCAATGGCAGAATCTGTCTGATCCAATTATTGGAAATCCAGAGGCTACTGAAGGCTTGGATGGTAAACTGTGGTTAATTTTGGTCAATTTCAGCTCTTAGCAGCTACCCATCCCCCTCCTCCTCATGAGGCAGGCAGCTGTGCACACGATCCTGGAGCAGGGTGTACATGGCTCGTGGGAATGGGAGGGGACACAAAGGACCCCTTCTCCGTGTTGATGTGTTATCAACACCGACTGCAGTTTCTGTTCACAGAGGTGTAGACAAGAGGAGGGTAGCTATTTTTATTGCAACTCCACCCACTGCTGCAAGCCCCTCTCCTTCCACCTGCCTGACTTCCTGGGGATTTAAAGGGCCAACGCACATTTTTTCCACCCCTTCATTTTTCTTTTTTCCTTTTTGGGAATTAGATGCTAAAGACTACAACATCCAAAAGCAACTGCATATATGCGGAAAATTAAAAAGTGACAGTAACTGTGCATGTCCAGGGAGAGGCACAGGCTCAGAAAAGACCTGAGAAGACCTTAAGTTTATACCTCAGACTGATCCTTAGGAAAGAACCTACAACACCACCCCCAATAAAAACAATGAACAAAATCTGGCAAACCCAGGGGTAGAGGGAGAACCTGATTTCCAGAATTACATACTAGATTCAAATGCCCAGTTTTCAATAAAAAAAGTCACAAAGCATACAAAGAAACAGGAAAGTATGGCCCATTCAAAGAGGAAAAAAAGAAATCAACATAAATTGTCCCTGAAAAAGATGTGATAGCAGATCTAGCCAAAGACCTTTTTGGTCTTAAAGATGCTCAAAAACTTCAATAAAGGTAAATACACGGGCAATTATAAAAGCAAGTATTACTGTAACAATGGTTTGTAACTCCACTTTGTTTTCTACAGTTTAAAACAAAAAACTTGAAGCAAGCAGACAAACTTATTCTTCTCAGGTTGGTTGATCATACAAATCTTGATCAACATTTAATGAAACATCAGATAGCATTGGCTCATCATGTTCTTCCACTCTGCTCAAGTGAGGTGTCCCATACAGATCATTAATTTCAACTTGTGTTTTCCGGGTCGGCTGCTGTATCTATCCTCTGAATGTGAAACATCTTCACTCTTATTTTCTATACACATTCTCATCTCCTTCTCTAATTGTTCTTGAGCTCTCTACAGTTCTCCTGTTCATTTTCTTGCATTTCCAACTCCAGCTGAACTATCAGCTATTGCTGCTGAAACATGAGCTCCTTTTACTTAAGTCTCTCCCCCACTTCAGGCTCCATTGGAGCTAGTTCTCATTCATGCTCCAAGCCGGCCATTTTCTTTTGTCTCAGCTGCTCCATGGTTACATTTTCCTTACACCTGTAAATCCCAATACTACATGTTGTATTGGATCCACTAGGCAAATTCTTGCCACTTCTACTGGACCCCGAGTTAGACATGTTCCAAGGTACTTTTGATGGTATGTTGACTCCCTCTCTAACTCTTAACCTTAACCCGCCAACCGCACATATATAAAGACAATTTTGTGATATCAACAACTGAAAGGGTTAGGGACAGAGCTGTCAAAGGAGCATAGTCTGTGTATGCCAGTGAAGTTAAATTGGTATAAATTCAAATCAAAGCACTATAACTGGGATGTTAAATGTAATCCCCATGGTAATCAAAAGGAAGATAGCTATAGAATATACACAAAAGGAAATGAGAAAGGATTTGAAATGTTTCATTACAAAAAAGGAAATAAAACACAAAAGAAGACTGTAACATACAGGAAATGAGACCAAAAAGCTATAATGCATGTAAAAAATAAATAACAAAATGAAAGAAGTTCCTCCTTGTAACTATTTTTTTTTTAATGTTTACCTATTTATTTTTGGAGAGAATCCCAAGTAGGCTCCATGCTATCAGCACATAGCTAGACGCAGGGCTTGATCTCATGAACTGTGAGATCATGACCTGAGCCGAAAATCAAGAGTCAGATGCTTAACTGCCTGAGCCACCCAGGTGCCCCATTTACATTTGGCAGAATGGATAAAACATATGATTCCACTATATGTTGTCTACAAGAGATTCACAGTATAACCAAAGATACAAATAGGCTGATTGTGAAAAGACAGAAAAAGATATTCCATGCACATAATAACTGAAAAAGAGCAAAGGTGGCTCTAAAACCAGACAAAACAGTCTTTAATAAAAGGTTCAATACATCAAGATATAACAATTATAAACATTTATGCATCAAGTAACAGACTAACAAAATATATGAAGGAAAAACTGAAAAAAGTTGAAGGGAGAAATACATTTCTTTCTTTCTTTCTTAAGTTTTATTTATTTAAAAAATCTCCATACCCAACATGGGGCTTGAACTCTGACTCTGAGATCAAGAGTCGCATGCTCTTCTGACTGAGCTAGCCAGGTGCCCCAAAAACAGTTCTATAATAATAGTTGGAGACTTCAATATCTATTTTCAATAATGGGTAGAACCAGACAGAAGGTAAGTAAGGAAATAAAGGACTTAAAACAACACAATAAACCAACTAGATTAACAGACATATAGCACTTGCTCCCCAACAACTGAATATGTATCTTTTCAAGCACACACAGGAATTTTCCAGGACAAACCATATGTTAGGCCATAAAGAATAAGTCTCAATATATTTAAAAAGATGCCATACAAAGTATCTTCTCTAATCACAAGATGAAGTTAGAAATCAATAACAGAAGTAAAACTTGAAAAAAAGTCACAAATTTGTGGAAATTAACACAATCAGCCAAAGAAAAAAAATCACAGGGGAAATTAGAAGATACTTAGAAATGAATAAAAATGAAAATACAGCATACCAAAACTTAAAGAACACCATTCTTTTAATACTGTAACAGTATTACAGAAGAAGTATATAGCAATAAATACATTAAAAAATAGGAGAATTAAATCAATATCTTAACCTTACAACTTAAGGAACCAAAAAACGAAAATGTACACCCGAAGCTTATAGAAGGAAATAAGAGATTTAAGATAATTGAAATACAGAATGGAAAAACAATAGAAAAAAAAAATCACTGAAACTAAACATTGGTTTTTTGAAAAGATGAACAAAATTGACAAACTTTTAGCTAGATGGATTAGAAAAAAAGAAAGACTCAAATTCCATAAATCAGAAATGAAATTGGTGACATTACTACTACTTGAGAAATAAAAAGAAGAGTACTATGAAAAATCATATGCAAACAAGTTGGATGAACTAGATGAAATAAATAAATTCCTAGAAACATAAAACCTACTAGGACTAAGTCATGAAGAAACAGAGTATCTGAATAGCTCTATAATTAGTAAGGAGATTTCATCAGTAATCAAAAATCTACTAGCAAATAAAAGCTCTAGACCTGATGACTTTATGGGTGAATTCCACCAAACATTTACATAACTAATACCAATACCAACAATTTTCCCCAAAAATTGAAAAGTAGGGAACTCTTCTTGACTCACTTTATGAATCCAGCATTACTGTGATACCAAAGCCAGACAAAGACACTGACTGCAGAACAATAATCCTTATGAGGGGTGCCTGGGTGGCTCAGTTGGTTAAGCATCTGACTTTGGCTCAGGTCATGATCTCGTGGTTCGGTTTGTGAGTTCAAGCCCCACACCAGGCTCTCTGTTGTAGCTTTGGATCCTTTGTCTCCCCAGTCTCTGCCCTTCCCCCACCCTCTCTCTCAAAAATAAATAAATATTACAAAAAAATAATCCTTACGAACACTGATGCAAAAATCCTCAACAAAATACTAGTAAACCAAATTCAGCAACATACTAAAAGGATTATACACAATGACAAAGTGGGCTTTATTCCTGGAATGCAAAAATGATTCAACACAATGAAAATTAACCAGCGTAATATACCTTAACAGAATGAGGAAAACTACATAATTACCTTAATTGATGAAGAAAAAGCATTTGACAAAATTAAATATCCTTTAATGAAAAAAATACTCAACAAGCTAGGGATAGAAAAAAACTACCTCAACATAGTAAAGGCCATATATGAAAAACCCACAGTAAACATCATACTCAATGGTAAAAGACTGGAAAGTTTTCCTCTAAGATCAGGAACAAGGCACGGCTGTCTGCATTCACCATTTCTATTTAACAGCATCTGGATATTCAAGCCAAAGCAAGTAGGCAAGACAAAGAAATAAAAAGCATCCAAACTGATGGGGCGCCTGGGTGGCTCAGTCGGCTGAGCGTCCGACTTCGGCTCAGGTCATGATCTCATGGCTCGTGGGTTCGAGCCTCATGTCGGACTCTGTGCTGACAGCTTGGAGCCTGGAGCCTAGAGCCTGCTTCGGATTCTGTGTCTCCCTCTGTCTCTGCCCCTCCCCCACTCGTGCCACGTCTCTCTCAAAATAAATCAACCTTAAAAATCTTAAAAAAAAAAAAAAAAAAAGCATCTAAACTGGAAAGGAAGTAAAATTATCTCTGTTTGCAGTTGACATGATCTTTTATATTAAAAATTCTAGGAGCGCCTGGGTGGCTAAGTTGGCTACGCATCCGCTTCTTGATTTTGGCTCAGGATGTGATCTTGCAGCTGTGGGATTGAGCCCCATGTCAGGCTCCGCACTGAGGGTGAGGCCTGCTTGGGATTCTCACTCTCTCTCTCTCTCTCTCTGCCCCTCCCCTGCTCATGCATGCACTCTTTCTCTCTCTCTCTCTCAAAATAAATAAAAATAAGCTTAAACAAAAAAACTCTATAAAGAATTGACACAAAAACTGGTAGGACTATATAAATAAATTCAGCAAAGTAGCAGATACAAAGCCAACACAGAAAAGTCAGGAGCATTTCTATACGTAAACAATGAACAATCTGGAAAGAAAATTACAAAATAATTCCATTTATAATAACATCAAAATGTATAAAATACTTGAGAATTAACCCATGAGACTAAAGACTTCTACAATGAAAACTACAAATCATTGCTGAAAGAAATTAAAGGCATAAATGGTAACAGACACCATGTTCATGGATTAGAAGATTTGATATTGTTCAGATGTTCATACTACCCAACGTGATACACAAATTTAATATAATCTCTATAAAAATCTCAACAACAATTTTTGCACAAATAGAAAAACCCATCCTAAAATCCATATGGAATCTCAAGGGACTCTGAACAGCCAAAACAACCTTGAAAAAGAAAACTGGAGGACCCATACTTGATTTCAAAACTTACTACAAAGCTATAATAACTAAAATAGTGTGGTGCTGGTATAAAGACAGATATATATACCAATAGAAATGAATAGACAGCCCAGAAATAAACCCTCACCACACACAGTCACATGATTTTGGACAATGGTATCAAGTTTATTCAATGCGGAAATGGCAGTCTTTTCAACAAATGGCCCTGAAGAGTGTGGCTATCCACATGCAAAAGAATGAAGTTGGACTCCTACCTAACCCCATATACAAAAATTAACTCAAAATGGATCCATGAACTAAAGGTAAGACTTAAAACTACATAAAACCCTTAGAAGAAAACACAAGGCCCAAGTTTAATGACACTGGATTTGGCAATGATTTAATGGATGTGACACCAAAGGCACAGGCAACAAAAGAAAAAATACAGGAAAATTTTTTAAAAATTGTGCATCAAAGGATAAAGATAAGTCAGTCACAAAAAGACAAATACTTTGATTCTACCTACATAAGGTACTTAACAGTAGTCAATCAAATTCATAGAGACTGAAAGTAGAATGGTGGTTGCCAGAGGCTGGAAATAGAGGAGATTACAATGATTACTTTAACGGGCCCAGGATTTCAGTTTTATAAGATGAAACGTCCTGGAGATGGGTGGTATTGATGGTTGTACAACATTATGAATGTATGTAATAATACTCAACTGTATACTTAAAAATGGTGAATTTTATGGTAAATGTTATGTTATATATACTTTACCACATTAAAGACCTTTTTTAAAAGAAAAAGTGGGTGGGGCGCCTGGGTGGCACAGTCGGTTAAGCGTCCGACTTCAGCCAGGTCACGATCTCGCGGTCCGTGAGTTCGAGCCCCGCGTCGGGCTCTGGGCTGATGGCTCGGAGCCTGGAGCCTGTTTCCGATTCTGTGTCTCCCTCTCTCTCTGCCCCTCCCCCGTTCATGCTCTGTCTCTCTCTGTCCCAAAAAATAAATAAAAAACATTGAAAAAAAAAAAAAAAAAATTTAAAAGAAAAAGTGGGGATGGGAAATTTACTTTTAATAGCTTGGATTAACCAAATGCATATATTACCTATTAAGAAGTGTTTTTAAAATTTCTGAAAACTTAATTTTCAGAAACGTTCAATGTTCATATTCTTAACGTTGATGCTTTTCACTTAAAGAGCAGAAAACAAACGTCAGCACTGTGTACAGCGCGGTTAAGCATTTGGCGTCATGAACTTCTTATAGGCCTTGGGTAGAACTGATCGAACGGCGGCCTTGGTTAATCTAAAGGGCAGCTAAAAATAGCTTATTAAATTTCTAGGCACATAGGCCTCCTCACAGATACAAAGCAGCTAAGGCACAAAACTGTTTGGTTGCCTAAACAGTTTCCAGACTTAATGAATGCTCTGTCAATTTTTTTTTAATTCAAATTTTAACTAGAATTCCAAGAGTTATACTCACAGGTTTTTCCCTATCTTTGTGTATTGCATCCTTTTTTTGGAATAGGGATATCTGCAGGTTATATCTCCCGTTGGAATATGGAATAAGTGGGAAAAACAGTAACAGAGCAGCAATTTAAAAACCACAGGAAGCTTTAGGAAGCTCAGAGTTCCTATCTATGTCAAACACTGCCTGGAAGCCAGGAAGAGTTAATTTTCAGGGCCAATAGATAAAGGTGCTATTTTTAGGGGAATGGGGAAACAGAATGCAGGAATCAAATTGGATGTTGCAGCTGGTAGTTTGCTTGGGCTTAGGGGAGGCGGAACATGCTGGATATTGAAAACTTATACCTTTTCTCCAGCAAATACGTTGATTTTGGAACACAGATTTACAAGAATTAGGAGGCTCTTCCTCCTATATCTGTCCTTACTTCCTACCCCATACCCAATTCTTTTTTTTTTTTTAATTTTTAATTTTATTAGAGAGAGAGACAGAGGAAGAGAATCTCAAGCAGGCTCTGTGCAAAGCATGGAGCCTAACACAGGACTTGATTTCATGACCCTGAAATCATGACCTGAGCTGAATTCAAGAGTTGGATATTCAACTGACTTAGCCACCCAGGCGCCCCCTGCCCCCAGTTCTTTTACGTATCATATAGCTTTTGACTTCACAAGACTACACCTTGGAGCAGGAATTCAGAGGAAGAAACAGTATTTGATAGGCATCATCAGTTCCACCCTGTGTTAATTTATCTCCACACTTCGATGGAAAAAAAAAAAATCTAATACTTACTGATACTCAGCCACACAGTCCAGCAGACCTACATACTTTAAGGTCTCATGTTGAACAGCACTTTCAAGAGCTCGCACTCCACTGACATCTTTCAGAATATGCTGGACACTTTCGACATATCCAGATTCAAGATTCTCATCTCTCTCTTTCAAGTCTCCTTGGGGTGAAAGTATGCTTTCCAAGGCTTTATGGAACCGTTTCCCTTGTAAAAATATGTCTGAAAAGAAAATCGGGAAAAAGAAAAATAAGAACAAAGCTAGTACTAAAAGACAAATGCCTTAAAACTTGTGAACAGTAAAATTAGAAATTACATAAAGTACCTTTAAAGTGACAATCCCTAAAACACACATTTCAGCCTCTTGTGAAACCTGAGAATCGCGCTTTGAAAACCAAAGGGACTGAAATAGCTTGAACAATAAAATTCATTAAAATAAAGAATTTCTAGGATTAGGCCAAAGCTACAATTGAAGATCTGGGGGCAATAGGACCACACCTAGTTTAGGGTACTGTGAATTTAAGTATCCATTAGTGTAACTTAACTGGTTGTGATAACTAATTATTGGAAATTTAAGGAACTTTGCTCCTGTTCACAATTCTTTTTACAATCAACACTTAATGAATACAGGTGGGGGAATCCTTTTACTAAGGCTTAATGAATGGCAAGGAATGAAAATCAAGGCATATACAAATTAAAAACAACAAATTGGATGTTTTGGAACTTGGGGGTGAGGAGAAGAAATATGTAACACTCTTCTGCATTTTTTTTAGGGCAAGAAGAGCCTAATTTTTTTCCTCATATGCTTAAAAAAATTTGACCTATAGTTGCCATACGTTATATTCATTTCAGGCATACAACATAATGACTTGATATCTGCATATCCTCATACGCTTTCAAGAAAAGAAAACCAAACATATTTAACAAACCCAAGAAGTTCTATGTATTCACTTGACTCTTGATAAGGGAAGGAGACAAAGAAAAGGCATTGTGCTAAGCAGTGGCCTTGGCACTTTCAAAATATTATTTAACTTTCAAACACAACAGCCCAGCAAGAGAAGAATCATTACTCCCAGTTAATGAATGAAGCCTACATAGTGCTGTTAATTTGCCCCAAAGCAAAAAGGTGGACTAGCAGCTTGGCACCAGAGTCCATGTTCAATTCCAGTCTGTTATACAGCACAGTGAAGAAGGCAAAATCAGGGACCATCATTTAGATGTGCACAGGAGCAGAGTAAGAAATATACATGCTTGGAGACACCCATAGAAAATGAGGAAAACAATCTCATCCACTAAGGTAATAGCAAAACCATATTACATTTGTCAACTATTGTTTTACCAGGATTTTGAAAGGTCAGTTTTACCACTGACAAAAAAAATGGAATCACTTCTGGGGAATTACTTGGAGAGTTAAATGAAATTCAACTGAGAAACTGAGTTATTACACTCCAAATGTACTTGGCTCAATTGGACTTACTAGCATATGAAAGGCCTACAAGAAATTTAAGACAAATGGAATTAAAACCTAGGTAAGAGTATTCATCTATACATTAGCTTAATGAAAAACATAAACATGTTAAAAACAGGAAGAAAAAAATCCTACTTTATCAACTGCCAAGCAAATAAACTCATTCTCCACTGCAGACTTAACCCCTGGCTGGGTTCTTCACATAGAAGAGGCAACAAACATCAGAAGCTAGATTACATCCCTTAGATTGTAAGGCTCAGAAGTCAGCCAGTCAGAGAAAATTAATATGTAATTTCACTCATACATGGAACTTAAGAAACAGAACAGATAAACATAGGGGAAAGGAAAGAAAAATAAGAGAAAAGAGAAAGGCAAACCATAACAGACTTTTTTTTTTTTTTAATTTATTTTGAGGAGAGAGAGCAAACGAGCACGAGCAGAGCAGGGGCAGAAAGAGAATCCCAAGCAGGCTCTGCACCCGCAGCTCAGAGCCCAAGTTGGTGCTCGATCTCACCAACCATGAGATATGACCTGAGCTGAAATCAGGAGTTGGACACTTAACCAACTGAGCCACCCAGGTGCCCTGAGACTCTTAAATAGAGAACAAACTGAGGGTTGCTGGAGGGGTGTTGGGCTAAATGGGTGATGGGCATTGAGCAGCACACTTGTTGAGATGAGCACTTGGTGTTATACCTAAGCGATGAATCACTAAATTCTACTCCTGAAATCATTATTATAATCACTTCTCAGCCTTTTGGCTAAGATCTAGTATCTGAAATCATTATTATACACTATATGTTAACTTGGATTTAAATAAAATTAAAAATTTTTTAAAAAGAAAAAAGATTGTAAGGCTCAGAACATTAAATATGATTGAATTTGTCAAAGTAAAATTTAAAAGGCATACATTTACTGCAGAAAGCATCAAGTCAGAGTATTCATTCAGTAAATTAAAGGAATGAAAGAAAAAAAATCCATGAGTCTCCAAGATTCTGACTGATAGAACCAGCAGGATTAAAAACTCACTGTAGCAAAAAAAAATGAAGAAACCCATCTTTTCCACTATGATCAACACATATAAATCAAAGTCAAACTTTGTTATCCTTGGCAATCTTCAAAAGGTAAATTGATGCTTGAGAAACTGACCAAATGTTTGACAGAATGCCAGCTCTGGGCACTTCTCTATGCTCTAGCCTTTGGGAAGACCAGGTGGAAAGGAATTTATCAATACACTACTTAAAAACTGCCTCTCCTGACGCATTAATCAATTTAGCGGGTTAGGATATGCTCTTTTTCTTTCTTTTCTTCCTTTCTTTTTTATTGGTTGAGAGGATCAGGACACTAATCTTCATGTGATTGCCCCCTTGAGAAAACAAACAAAAAAAAGCAATCCCCCCCCTTTTGTTGTTGTTATTTTTTTGAGAGACAGAGTGCGAGTGGGGGAGGGTCAGAGAGAGAGAGGGAGACATAGAACCTGAAGCAGGCTCCACCTCTGAGCTGTCAGCACAGGGCCCGAACCCACAAACTGCAAGATCATGACCTGAGCTGAAGTCGGATGCTTAACTAACTGAGCCACCCAAACGCCCCGATTCTGTTTCTTAAAACTGATCCTGAGTTAACTGAGAAACACATCCGAGTAATAATCTAGATCAACAAAGTTGATTATACGTAAAACCACCATAGTTTTCTCTCTGCTTTGGGATGGTGGAGCTCGTTCACATTCCCAACAGAAATTCCTTTCCTTTATCAAGGAGGCCCCAGAGCACTTTTTTACTCTGCCAAGGACTACAAGTTCTAGGTTCCCACAAGTCCTAGCAGGTTTCTGCGTTTACTTTTCTGATTCAGTAATTCCAGGATTCCCACAGCTATGACATTCCAGATTTAAGGAAAATGAAAAACAACTTCCCATGTGGAAACAACGTCAATTCTAAATTCTTGTGGTACAAATAAAAAACTTAAGATGCCATTAAAAGATGTTTTTATGTTGCTTGTTTAGAAAACAAGAGAATAGTTTAGATGTTGTTACTTATTACCTAAAGGCGGGTGGCCCTTGCATAGATTCTCAGCACACAGCTGAGGAATGTTCTAAGAGATTAGGACCTTGACCATTTTTGCCATATGCAGGTACAACCTATATAAATACTTAACAGATGTGACCACATGTTTAATGTGATACCCACACACAGTTTTTTCTAAGGTGCTTAAAAACAAGTGCATTACTCCTAAAATTAAAAATGGAAGTGCTCTGTACCACCTACTAGGGGTACACATAACTGCTCTGGGAAGCATGGGCTAAGGAATGATCGATGTAAAACATAGCTCTAACAAAAAAAACAACTATATAATCTTGATGGGGACCAGAGAGTTCACCTGTGCCAATGGTCTTTCGTCTCACCTTGCTTTTGAATGGAACCTGTTTTTAAGGAAACTATTCTCCTCACTTGTCTAAGAAGTTAATAAGTTAGGAGTTGAATGCTAAAGTTTACTTATTTTCAATTACCAAACAAGAGCATCTATTATCTCAATTTGCCGAGATCTAAACAACAAATTATGTGTTCCAGCTTATTGCCAGTCTTTAAACTTACATGTCAAAGAGGAAAAGTAGAGCAAGGGGGTATTTCCTAGATTCTGAGTAGCATGCCTAGCAAAGTAGAATTGTTATCAGGTGACTGATTCCTTAATCACAGAAAACAGGCAACTCCAATACTCAAGTTTGTAGCTTATAAAACAAAATAATTTTCTACATAATTTGGTCAAATACTTGATCCCTGTGCTTCAGTTTCATCTGTGAAATGGGAATACTAGTATCTATGCTTCACAGGGCTGTCATGATTGAGTTAATATAGAGTGCTATTTAATGCTAATTATCATTTTAAAGTAGCGCCTCACTAGTTCAGGTCAAAAAATACTCTCATTCTTTTGATACCAGTGCTCTATTTTCTAGAAAACATAGTAACCATACAGAATCAGGATTGAGAAAATTACTTGAAGAATATTCTGCAAAGCCATCTTCTCCCAATTCCAGAATCATCCGCTGTTTCCACCTCTCCAAGTAGAAAATCTGTTCTGATGTCATGGTCTGTTGAAGGACCTTGGTCACACTTGGAATCGTGTTTCTTTGCAAAGGGATTCTCAAAGGAATTGTAGGAGTACTTGCTGCATTTGGTTTCATGCTTTTCTCTGGATTGAAGAGAGGACACCAGTTTCCTGGAACTTTTGCCGCCTCATCTTGCTTTGGGGGCTTACACTTACTCACAGGTCCATACAGTAAATTATCCTCCTCGAACAATGATTCTGGAGTCTGAGCAAGGCCTCTGGATGACAAGACAGACTGTACTAAATCAGAATACCTTCCTTGGTCCACTTCTTCATAAGGGTTCACTTTTTTCTTCCGGCTACAGGAATAAGAGGAAGTGGAGAAATCCACACGAGTCGTTGGTTCTACAGAAAACCCCTTTGAAGTTCTGAGCTGCCGGCAGATGGTCTGAAACGCCTTCATCTTTAGATGCTTTTTCACTTCCCTCTAGTCTACTTGCAATGTTAAGGGCCTTTTATTTTTGCACTCCTACTAAAAAGAAAAGTGGCATTAGATACCAAACGTATTAAATATTTAAACCAAAATGAAAGCCGTATTAGCATAAGGCATATCAAATTGTATTCCATTAAGCTTTTTCGACGTGTTTGGACAAAGCTATTTCCAAAGAAAGACTCTCTTTGCCAGGAAGGACAGTACTTGTTAAATGTGAAATGCTACAGCTTGGGGCAAGACGTCCCCGATATTCAATCATAAGAAACGGGACGCCTAGAAAGGGAGGTGTGTGTGAGACACACAAAAGCAACGCTCCAGCCCGTCCTACAGCGGCCACCATGGTCACGGTTAACCACTGATCCCTACATACCAGGCTCTCTGCTAGGTATTCCGGGCGGAGACTTCTCATTTAAGCCCTTACACGCTTTAAGGTGGGTACTACTGCGACACCGTTTTACAGACGTGGAAACTGAGCTTCTGAAGGGTCCCACCAGGTCCGAGCGGGTAAGCGGTGGTCAGCGGGGCCCACCAACGTGATCCCCAGAAGGCGGCCTCCGCCTCCGCCTCCGCCCTACGTGTGGAACCACGGGGTGGGGACTGGACGGCTGCGGCCCCTCGTGTGGAAATCGAATTTAAGGAAGAGAAGGCTTAAATAGAAGCCCAGCTCACGGCACCGGTATGTACCTCTGAAGCCACCACACTTCGCTGAACTTCCAAAGAGCCGACAACCACTCGGGACCCGTACTTTCCTCGATCCCGCGCTTGGATCTCGAGTTTGGCTCCGCCCAAGGGGCGGTGGTCCCGGCATGCACTGGGAAGCTCCTACTCCCGCAGCTAGCCCCTCCTTCACTGCCCTAGACACTCCCGCGATCCGTGGGGAATCCCTCCTCTCAGGCGTTAGCGCGGGCTCCTCCAAATCGCGCCCTTACGCTCTCACGATATCTTGTTACGTCACGGATGGTCGCCATCTTGGACTCTGGCTGAGTAATAAATTCTCCCGCACGAGAGAGCGGGCTTTCTTGACACGCGCTTTGCTGGGAGAGCGTCTGCTTCTCCGCGTCCTTCTCGCGGCCCTGCGGTCGGTGGTTTCCGCGTGGCCCGGAGCGAGGGTAGGCCCCGAGTAGCTTTTTTGCCCGGCTCCAAGATGGACGGCAGCGGGGACGGGGGAGGCCGTTCTGGGGGAGCACGTGGCGCGCCGCTGGCCTTTCCCGGGGCTGCTGGGATGGTGGAGGAGTCCGGAGGCCTCCTGCCGCCGTCGGTCAGGGAGGCTGGCGGAGGCGGGGCCGCGGCCGCCCCTGAGAGGCGCCCCCGAGGCGGCGGCGGCGGCCCAGTCTCTTCTTTCCTCGCACAGCCAGGCGGCCCCCGCTCGAGTCCCGCGTCGCCATGGCCGCGGTTCCCGAGTTGCTGCAGCAGGAGGAGGACCGCAGCAAGGTGAGGCCCTCCTCGTTCTCATGGTCCAGGACGGGAGGCCCCGCCGACCTCCCGGACCCCCACATTCCTTTCCCTGTCCCCCGGGGACTGCTCGTGCCGCCGTGTCTCCCCGCGAAAAGCCCTCCACGCGGGGGTACACGCCGGTCCCTGCGCGCCCTCTGCTTCGTCCCCTTTAAGGGCTGTGCCGGCGCTCGCTGCGGACCCGAGGCGACAACCAGAGTCTCGAGATCGGTGTCGGTAGCACGAGCCCGGGTGGCGGGTACCGAGAGCGCGCGGCGAGTCCCCGGAGCTTCTCTCTGGAGACTCGGGAATGTGCTCTCGCGTGGAGGGTTGTGAAAACTCTTAGCAAAGACTGAACAGTGAAGGTGAAATCCACCTGACATGCCGCAAATGGCATAATTTGGTGCCGTTGCCTTCAAACTGACCCCTCTCCCCCGCCCCCCTCACTTTGGGAAAGGTCTCTTTGGCCCAAATACTGGGGAAATTCCGTCAAGTCCAATCTGACGCTTGTTCCTCACAACTTTGTAAACGCCAAATGCGTCACTGCGGGAATTCTGTAATTTTTAGTAGGCGCTCTCCAATACTTACTGAACTTGGTTTTTTACTTTTAAAATCTTGCGCGTTTATGTAAACCGTCCCCGTGCCCCCTAAATCTTGAGGTCTGAAGGGTAACTGTTGCAGTAAATTCAGGGTATCATGGCCAAGTAAAGATTTAGAGGCCAGTCTCTGCTTATTACTGGCATTTACACTTCAGATAGTTTGGCAATTTGTAGAGGTGGGTGCGAGCCGCGACGTTATGTGCAGATGAATCATCACCAGGAAAGTTTTTCTGACCGAAAACGAAAAAAAAAGACTACAAGGCGCTTTCAAATGTAGGTGACCTAGAAGGCACCTTAGAGTTACACATACCTAAAAGTCAAAGACATCCTTTGATCCACAGCACGTTTGGAGACACTTTCACGTAGTCAGTAGCGAAGTTAACACAGCTAGCTGGATTCTTCCAACAAAGTTCTTGTTGTCGTGTGTGTTTAGTTTCTTCTTCTTCTTCTTCTTCTTTTTTTAATGTGTACATATTTTAGTGTTTATCTTTGAGACCGGGGGGCAGAGGATCTGAGGTGGACTCCAGGCTGACAGCGGAGAGCCCCTAGGGGGTCTGGGACTCAAAGGTGAGATCATGACCCTAGCCACCCAGGTGCCCCTCACTGCTCTGTTAGTTATTGAAATGCACCTTTGTGTGTGACAGTAGAGTCTTGATTGGGGTAGTTTTTTTTTGAAATTTGAAATAAGTAAACTTATCTTTCTTTTCTTTTTTTTTTTTTTTTTTTTTTTTTTTTTTTTTTTTTTTTTTTTTTAACTAAGAGGTAAGTGGGAACTTGAGACCATGATTCTTTGTAAAATACGCCGGTAGTTTTGTCTATAGAAGTTTAGGTGTTGAATAGGAATTTTGACAGCAATTTGACTTTATTTCTATCACCTGATACCTCACCTCTTCCTCCAAAATCTGTTTTATTACAGCATTTTAAAAGCAGTTAACTTCTTCAGCTATCTTCCTGTTACCACACTAGATTGTAGCTGGCTTTTAAAATAATTTTCCCACCACGCTGATGCTCCGGCAGAATTGGAAGTTTATAAAGGCTGTTTCCTGCCTGTTTTAGTGGGTGCAGGCGAGGATTATACGGAATTTTCCTGATTTTTTTTTTTTTTTTTAATTACAGAAATTGGGAAATAATAAAGCTTAGTAAAATGCTACTCTAAAACTCAGCTTTATTTTGCTTTTATCTGTGATGCTTAGCCCCGTGCTGTGGATCAAGTCTAGGTGGTTTTCACTGTTGAGCAAAAGGGAGTTTGGGACAAGTGTAAAAAAAGCCCAAACAAACAGGAAGTCAAATCTTAGGCAAACTATCCTCTTGCCATAATACAGCCTTGTTAGTCAATTGAAATTTTTTACATTTAAAACAAATTTTTTTTTTTAATGTTTATTTTTGAGAGAGAGAGAGAGCATGAGCAGGGGAGGGGCAGAGAGGGAGGGAGACACAGAATCTGAAGCAGGCTCCAGGCTGAGTTGTCAGCACAGAGCCCAATGTGGGGCTCAAACTCAACGAGCTGTGAGATCATGACCTGAGCCGAAGTCGCCGCTTAACGGACTGAGCCATCCAGGTGCCCCTGAAATATTTTACATTTTTAAACTGAAAATGTTCTAAGTTTAAATATTCTGATTATTTTGGGATTTACATGAGGATAAGGGTTCATGGGGTTTAGGTCCACTAGTTAAGTAGGGAACATAAATGAATCTTGAGGGTTTTGAATGCTTGTACAGCAAGTGCTCTTTTTGGCTTGTTCAGCAAAACTAAAAGGAGTATTGGTTTGTATTTGGTAGCCTGATATTTCCGTTTAGTTACATCCGTTAGCTGAAGGTTTTGGGATTTGTCTCCTTTCCCCGAAAGTAGTTTAGGAGAAGAGATACATGATTAATTTTGTTTTTTTAACTAGTCCTCAACTGATAGTAAAGATTATATCTTGGTCTTTAAATTCAGGAAAGTAGGTTTTTCCCAAGTTTAGTTCCTGAAAAAGTCAACTAAAGGATTAACACCATTAGGCCTTCTCTTCATGATAAACTAGTAATGAGCTTCCCTGTCCCCCAGAGTTCCCTGGTGTCTGGAGTTTTCTGTGATGGGTAGAGGAAAATAATTGGAGATTATGCGGAACCTTTTTTCTGCAACAATGATAGTTAACCCTGGCCTTTAGTCATTCTGTACTTTCTAGGTTCTCTGAGGCTTCCCTTTGCCAAAAAGTCATTAAAATAGCTGGGCAGCATGTTTGAGTTTCTACTCAGGTTCAGTGTGTATCTTTCTAAGGGTCCTCATTGATCTTGGATTTTTTTTTTTTTTTTTTTTTTTTTTAATGATTCTTAAATTGCTACTGGACTGAAGCTTAACACAAAAGCTTTGCAAGAGCTAGGTGATACCCCTCCCCACTTACTGCTGTTACAACTTGGTCTTTCACTAGTTGGTTATATGGACTTTGGGTGGATGGTGTCTCCTCAAAGCCAGTCATTAATATTTGAGGTACTGCTTGCTCTGGTTTGCAGCGAGTTTTTCTTTAAACTGGTGTGGAAGTTGTAGGGATGCTACTCTCCTCCAGCTTGGATGGAAGAATGACCTACAATTTGTGTTAGTATAGGAACAGTCTTGAACTTTTAACAATACTATAGCAAGTCCAAACTTAGTAATTTTTGTGGACTGGAGTTTATACTAAATGACTTCATTTTTCTTTTAATTTTCTAAGCTTGGGAAGCATGACTTATCAGAGCTGCCCACACCTTAGTTCTGGATCAGTAACTTGTACACAGTGTCTTAGGATCCTCATTTGTGAATGCCACTTTAGTAGGTCATAATCTCACTTTTTTTTTCTTTTTTTTTTTCTTTTTTTGTGCTATGGGAAGAAATGGCCAAGGGAGAATTTTCTAGATTCTGAGGTTAAATTTTCGTTTGGTAAGACTTAGATTATGTCTAATATAGAGCTTTAGTTTAAGGTGGGAT